CAGCTGTGTGACGTGGAACACATCGTGTACCTACACTCGGTCCCAAAACATATCTAAGAACAGAATCATAGAATTACATCTAACTCAAGGTGTAACATTGTACCTTTTCCAACTCCATGGGTAGGGTTAAACGATAAACTACCATCCCAATCCTCTCGACTATGTCGTATGGCCCTATGAATCGAGGGCTTAACTTTCCTTTTCTTCCAAAGACACTAGCAGGCATCCTAATCACGCATGATAAGATAATAACAAAGCTCAATGTTGGTCCCAAAGGGGGTGTGGTCAAAGTCTAGAGGGGGGGGGGGTGAATAGACTTTTAAACTGTTTTCACGAATACAACAATTGTTGAGGCGATAGAGAAACCAAAACTCTTAACTAGATTGTTAGATTCTTGTACGCAGCGGAATAAATAAATACGAGTTGTATGATTGTGTCAAGTATATCACGTGATAAGAGAATAAAGAGCAGTAAGTAAATAAAGCAGTAAATGACACAAGGCAATTTATAGTGGTTCTGAGGTGATGTAATCCCCCTACTCCACTTGTTTTTATCGTCCAAGAGCAATTCACTATATCCACCACTACTTGGTTCCTAGATACAATGAATTTCCGTGATCGAGTGCTTTGATAACTAAGCCCACACTAATCACGCATAGTGCTTCTAACACTGCTGCTTCGGATTTCGCAACTCTGTGCTACTTTCACAGGATTTCACAGCAACGTGCTACTTTCCCCCCGTCTTCCACGATCCGGTCGACGTATCCAGTGATCTAGTGCTTTGATCACCAAGCCCGCACCAATCACGCCCAGTGCCTCCGACACTGCTGCTTCAGATCTTACAGCTCCGTGTAACAATCCAGGATTTCACAACTCCGTGTTACATTCCCTCCATCTTCGACATATCCTGTGATCTAGTGCTTTGATCACAAAGCCCGCACTAATCACGCCCAGTGCCTCCGACACTATTGCTCCGGATCACACAACTCCGTGTGATAATCCAGGATTTCACAACTCCGTGCTACTTTCCTCCCTTCCTACACTCCAGTAGGAATATCACTTGTTTGTAGAAAAACAAGTTTCACTAGCTTCCAACTTTGAGACTTCTTGAATGGATCTTCAATATGCAGCAAGTCTCTCAATGATGAAGGTTTCAAACACTCTTGAATATTTTCACTTTGAGCTCTGAGTGTTTATCTCACTTGAATATTTTTCTTGTAAGCTTTTTCAAGCAGATTGGATTCGTATGATCTCACGTTTTTAGCTCTTTGGAAGTGTTTTGATCTGCTTCAATCTTCATCCTTTTATAGCTGATTTTGAGAATTTGTCCGTTGGAAAAAGACAATCTCAAATTTGAATTATCGATCTCAAATTTGAATTCTTGTAGCCTTTTGCAGAGGATCTGTAGCTTCCTTAGAAGATCTTATTAAAAAATAATATCTCTGATATTTGAGATATTTCGGCCATTGCTTAGCTCTTGGTCCATGTGAAGAGACTCTTAAAATATTTCTGATGTAGATCTTGTCTTCACGTGAAGGGCTCTTAAAATAATTCTAATGTGGATCATGGCTTCAGGGACTTTCATCTTCTGAGTATTTTGATCTCTCAGTATGGCTACTGATGAAGTTCTGATGTAGATCATGCCTTTTGGGACTTTTATCTTCTGAGTATTTTAATCTCTCTGTATGGCTACTGATGAAGTTGTTTGTGTTCGACCAATGAGATCTCTTGATCTGGGTCTCATACTGGTGGTGAGAATTCAATCCTTGATTGAAAACTTCATCTGCTCTTGACTTGCAAACTACTTCATCTCCAATCGCATCTCTTACTTCGTCTCCAGATCTGGGTCTCATACTGGTGGTGAGAATTCAATCCTTGATTGAAAACTTCATCTCTAACTTCAACTCTTACTATATTGAAAACTTCATCTCTAACTTCAACTGTTACTATATATAGTTTGATGAAACTTCATCTCTAACTTCAGCTCTTGACTTGCAAACTACTTCATCTCCAACCGCATCTCTTACTTCGTCTCCATTATTTATCACTTCATCTCTAACTTCAGCTCTTGACTTGCAAACTACTTCATCTCCAACCGCATCTCTTACTTCGTCTCCATTATTTACCACTTCATCTCTTCTTTAGTTTTACCGCATCTCTTACTTCGTCTCCATTATTTACCACTTCATCTCTTCTTTAGTTTTTTCGAATTACTTTCGAAACCTCTCTTACTTCGTCTCCATTATTTACCACTTCATCTCTTCTTTAGTTTTTTCGCATCTCTTACTTCGTCTCCATTATTTACCACTTCATCTCTTCTTTAGTTTTTTCGAATTACTTTCGAAACACCTCTCTTACTTTGTCTCTATTATTACCACTTCATCTCTTCTTTAGTTTTTTCGAATCTCTTACTTTCGAAACCTCATATCTCCAACCGCATCTCTTCCGCATCTCTTACTTCGTCTCCACTATTTACCACTTCATCTCTTCTTTATTTTTTTTCGAATTACTTTCGAAACCTCTCTTACTTCGTCTCCATTATTTACCACTTCATCTCTTCTTTAGTTTTTTCGTACTTCATCTCCATTATTTACCACTTCATCTCTTCTTTAGTTTTTTCGAATCTCTTTCGAAACCTAGAGTGCGTTTCGAGCCTTACACCTTGGGGTTTATACATCAAGCTTTCATCCATCTTGCCTGTACAAATTATTAGTCATTATAGCATTCTCCTTGATGTACTTCTTGCTTTCCATAGATGCTTGATCTTCAAGATAACTTCATGCAATCTCGTTTGCTTCTCTTTTCTTTGTATGAGATCATCAGTACGACTTCTTCTTGAGTTGAGGCGTGTGGGCTTATTTAAGTATACATATCATATGCATACATCTCCTTCTTCTTCTTCTTCGTATTTTTCCCTTTTTCTATATTTGTTAATTTTCCTTTCATGGTCAATGACACGCCTAGACTTAACAAATAAAACTTGGGGATTCTAAAATACAATTTGGCATATCAAAATCTATTACAATATATTCCTAACAATTTCCCCCCTTTTGATAATGCCAAAATCCTATACTCAGTCATTGGCTTTAAGTATTTTGAAAAATAATTTTTGCTCAATTTTATTTGACAATGCCATGATGAGTTTAACAAATATATTGTAGGAAAATAAATTGACTCGTGAATTAATTTTAGACAAGTTCCTAATACGCATTTGCATATTTAATTCTAGTCATTTTTCTCTTTTGTTATGCGTTTTACATGTTTGTCTTTTAATTCACATTCTAAATACAAGTTAAGATATCAAAAAAGAAATATATACCACTTTAGGAAATTAACATAACTTGTATTATCATAATAAGGGAAAATACTTGATAATTTCGAAACAGTAGTTTTACAAAACAAAAGTTTCGAAAATCATATTACCTCTTTTGCCTCTTATCACTTCTTTCGTTCTTCAGGACATCTTTGATGTGTTCCCTCATCTTGTACACGTCTTTCTTGATACATTCACAAAAGAATTCTTTGTTGACTTGTCCGGCGAGGTAATTTTCATATGCTTCTTTCAGAGTTGTTCCCAGTAGAACTCCGGCATCAATCCATTCAATGCATTCATTGAAACTTCTATCGTGGCCTAGAGAATTTCCTGTGGTTCTAGTGAGTTTTTGCAATTCAAACCACATATCCATCTTCTTTCTCTTTCTCTGTTCTTCGTTATTCTTTTCATTCACCAGGTGAGCTACTTCGGCTGGGGATTGCTTCTTGATCATAGCAGGTGCGTTTTTTTTGGTCCATACGGTATATGGTATTTCGGTTTTGGAGCAATTGAACCAATCTTCCATCTTTCCTTTAGAAGAACCTGCACCTAAACCAGAATTAGAAAATTGAGCAAAACCCAAACCACCTGGAGATGCTTGGCGTCCACGGCCTCGGCCTTAGCCACTTGGTGGTGTTGCTTGTGGTTGCCCAATAAAATATTCTTGTTGTTGAGCCGCCATATGACTGAGATATTTTACCCCCCCCCCCCCTCCCCCTTGGCTTTATCAGCAAGAAAATTAAGGACACGGGTACCTCGGTCTTGGTTGGCTTTCACAATCTTGATTCCTTCATTGGCTACGTCAGAAGTATTCTGCAAAGTTTCTAACTTCTGAGTCATGGAGGATAGCTCAACTTCAAGTTGATTGATTCTTCGTTCTTGATCTTGTATGGCTTTCAGTTGCCTCATGTGGCGTTCATAATTGATCTTCTCGGCTTCCTCATTTTCTTTCTTCAAATTTTTTATCACTTCAACAAAACTGGCAGTGATGTTATTTTTCAAACGCTTTTCTGTTCCTTCGATCTTGGACTCCAAGGATGTGTGCTTTTCAAAGATTTTCATGAAATTTGACCTCGAGTTGTCAAATTCCTGCGTCGCCAAATGTCCTTGATCTCTCAAAGTAGTTCCGATCTTGTGGCAAATTGTATCTCCAGATTCGGATACTTTGGCAAACAAAGTTGTCAAAAGGTCATCTTCATCTTCTTCAGGCCGGTGTTGTGTCGTCCAGTTTAGATTATGTAGGGATCTGAGAAACTTCCTTCTTGAATCTGCTAGAACTGGAGTTTCCACAAGTTGTAAGCTTCTTCCTTATGAAGATTCGGCCATAGTGGTATTTTCTTGACAATTGGCTTCTTTTTCAAGGTTATCTCCATCTGTATTGACTTCTTCTTCTCCTTGATAATTTTTAATATCTTGGGAGAAACTTGGATTTGAGAGAATGGGTTGCTCAGACAATGGTCTGTCTTCTAGTGGGGATTGAAAGTTTGCAGTAGTTTTGACAGAGACATTTTGTACTGCAACTTCAATTAATTGTTCCCCCCCCCCCCCCCCCCAAATTAATTCTCTATTCTCATTCAAAACTTCTTCTCTTACTTGTTCTCCTATCTCTTCTCTGATCTCATCTCCAACATCTTCTCTGACCATGTCAACAACATCTCTGGCAGAGACATTCAATTCAGCTTGTGGACCATCAATATTCCTCAAAATTTGGTCATTATTTATTTCAATATTTGTCTATCTTTCGGCTTCAGTGACAGGGATATTGACCAAATTTAGATTACCATCACAGCAGTAGTTTGGTCATTACCAACATTATATGACACGGGTGCACACACAGGTGAAATATTTTCTCCTTCTTCATTCCTTTCTCTTAATGCATCAAGAAATTCATTAGCAATATTGAGAGAAGGTTCACCTGGATTATGATGAGTGTCCATAGTAGATCTTTTCAAAGCAATTTGTAACTGAGCTTCATTGATCTTTTCCAATTGAGCCGGTGAAATTTGAGTTACGTTCTCTTTGGCCACAGTTGCAACAACTTTTCCTCTTGCAGCCTTTTCTTCAAGTTTTGATCTGTAAACTTGATCTACATTCATGTTGAGTGCCTCAAGTATAGAATCTGTTCTACACCACTCCAAGACAAATTCTTCACCCTCTATCAATACCGAGGAGGCTTTATGGATGAGAGAGTGATATTTCTCAATTCACCAATTTTTTCATACTTGAACTCTGACCTTCTCGTTCATCAATTTTGGATCATCTTGGATAGTGTTGAATACTACCGGTCTGGCACTTGATTCACCTGTTGATTGGCTCGAAATTCTTCTTTGCAATTCGTTGGAGACTCGCACTTCAACTCCTGCTAATTCCATCCATGTTGTGTCATCAACGGGTTCGGTTGGCAATCCCGGATGACAAACAGTCTGAGCTTCATTCTCAATCACTCCTTGGAACGGTATTATTGGCATGACTGTGCTCATGGCTTCTTGTTCTCTGATGGTCGGGTTACTAGACCCCATAAAATTTCTTGCAGTTGAGGTAGCCCTGTTGCTTCTGATTTGAGATCCTTTTGATTGAGGTGTTTTTGTGCTTGCAGAAGTTCCTTCTTTGGATGCCTTTTTCTTTTGACTCTTCTTCCCATTGTCTGGTGAAAACATCCTGAATAGATACCTATAGATTCCAACACTTTTGTGTTTTCTCAAAGGTATTCTCTTCTTCCTCAAAATTTCTCCAATGGCAAGTCCATAGCCTACACCTTGAAGAAATTGATCTTCTTCGAGTGGTCTTCCAGTTGGCTTTGCGGCGAGAATAAATCCTATAATTTTGGTGAAAATATAGTTCGCCCAATTGAATTTGATTCCACTCATAATTCCATTCATCAAGCGGATATATGGATAAGAGTAATTATCCAAAGTTCCCAATTTGTTGTCTAGGGCTTTGTAAATTACATCCACTAGCATCTCATATTTAGGCTTCAAAAGTCTTTTCTTATCGCATGTATTTGATATTATTGTTGTGCTTGGACCTCGAATTTCATCCCAGAAACTTTGAAGATCATAATGATGAGTATCCACCAAGATTTGAGAATTTGAAAATTTGAAACAATTTTAGATGTCTTCTTCGGAAATTTCAACTTGTGTTCCGCCAACAGTGGATAGAATTCGGTCATTCTTCACGTTTGCATGTAGGTAAAATTCTACTACATCTTCTTCAAAGGCTCCAGAATACTTGTAGGTGAGAAAATCATAAAGTCCACAGTTCTTCAATGCTTGAACGATCTTTGCTGCTAGAACTTTGTCTTGAGCTCCATTCATGAAATATTCTTCGTTGAGAACCATTCACACCGTGAGTTGTTTCACAAGCACGGTTAGATCCTTGGGTTGTTCTGTTTGCGCCATTGTGATCAACATGGATGATGCTTGATTCGGTTGAGAGAGAATTTTAGGCTTTTTGAGTGATCTGAGATTTTCTTTTGGTATGGAAGATGAAGAGTTTTGTATGAGAGAGGGTTTTAGGGGATTTTTCTCGGTTGGACGAGAGAGAGAGGGTATGGACATTTAAGTCCTTTTGTGTAAGGGTTCCAAAAGTGACTCTTTAAGGATAGATGTGTCTTTTTAGTGAGGATGAGTCAGGAGAGAGAGAATGCAATCATTACTAAACAGCAGCATTTAATGCTCACAATTTTTTAGAAAACTTTTAAGCACGTAATTGATTTCTAAAGGGACACATAAGGTGGAGATTGAGTAGGAGAGGAGGTTTAAAATTTGATTTGGAGAGAGGAGATTTAATAGGAGGCTAAGTTGGAGAATCGGTTTAGGAAGAGGATTCTCGAATTGACAGGTTAGTTCTCTCACAAAATTAAATAATAGATAAAATATCTCCATCTTTCAGAAATTGAATTTTCTTTAAATAAATATCAACCACACGATTGAAAAAAAATAAACACTTCGGTGGTATCAAATGTCTTTTGGGATTCAGTTACCAAAAACAATTAGGAAACAATCACATTTATATATATTTATATATATACACGCACACACGGTAATATATATATAAATCACAAAAATTTTGGTAAATAAATAAATTTCGTAACTTCTTCCCAAAAACAAATTTTAGAAACCAAAAATAACATGATACCAATTTTGAAAATATTTTTCGTATGGCAATTTCTAAAACAAATAATAATTAAACACATATAGCAAACGCAATTCACGTAACAAATATTTATCATGCCACAAATAATTTAAATCAGTTTAAGAGCAATTAGGCACGTAAATAAATCATTCATGAATATTAATACACATATATGAAAATTTACTCGCATCGCAAGTAACAAATTAAACTATCATGCGATAAAACTCAATATTTCTGAAAAATTGAACATTTATCAAATTAATTTTGCATGGCACATAATTATACGTAAAATAACACATGCAACTATATAAACAAATAGATAACATATATTGCAAAATTATTCACGTAATTTTCAACTAAAAACATGAACAAAAAGTGCTAAATAAATTAAATTGAGAAAATGTATCAATTAAAATAAGGAAATTAAGTCTAGTGATACTTAATGTAGCATATCTCGTTTCGCATAAAGGCTTTGTGAGAATGTCTGCAACTTGATTCTCCGTAGGGATATAATCAATTTTTAGATCTTTCTTTTCAACATGATCCCTTATGAAGTGATGTCGAATGTCGATATGTTTGGTTCTTGAGTGAAGCACCGGATTGTTAGTGATTGCGATTGCACTAGTATTATCACAATAAATACTAACGTCGTCACAATTTACTCCATAATCCTTCAATTGTTGCTTCATCCACAATATTTGCGCACAACAACTCCCTACAGCAATGTATTCGGCCTCGGCGGTACTAGTTGCGATGGAATTTTGCTTTTTGCTAAACCAAGAAACAAACCTTCCCCCCAAGAATTGGCATGTCCCGGAAGTGCTTTTTCTGTCCATTTTACAACCTGCAAAATCCGCATCTAAAAAACCTGTTAGAGTAAGATCTATACCTTTAGGATACCATAATCCTACATTGACCGTTCCCTTTAGGTATCTTATGATCTTCTTTGTTGCGGTGAGGTGGCTTTCTTTAGGATTTGCTTGGAATCTCGCACACACTCCCACGGCATAAGATATGTCTGGCCAACTTGTAGTGAGATATAGAAGTGAACCAATCATTCCTCTATATTTCGTTTGATCGACATCTTTTCCATCTTCGTCTTTGTCTAGCCTTAATGATGTACTCATTTGAATCTTGATTGATGATTTTCGATCAAGGACAAACTTCTTGATCAAGTCGCGGGTGTACTTGGCTTGATTGATGAAAATTCCTTCTTTAATTTGTTTAACTTGTAAGCCCAAGAAGTAATTTAGTTCACCCATAATGCTCATTTCAAATCTTTTCTGCATAAGCTTTGAAAACTTCTCACACAAAGAATTGTTAGTGCTTCAAAATATAATATCATCAACATATATTTGCACTAATAAAATATGTTCACCATCTTGAATTCTAAAGAGATTTTGTCAACTTGGCCTTTGGTGAATCCACAGCTTATCAAGAACATTGACAAGGTATCATACCAAGCTCTTGGTGCTTGTTTTAACCCATACAATTCTTTTTTAAGTTTGTAGACTTTGTCACCTTCGCCTTTTACCTCAAAACCTGGGGGTTGTTCGACATAAACTTCTTCTTCAAGTAATCCGTTCAAGAATGCACTCTTGACGTCCATTTGGTAGACGGTGAAGTCCTTGTGCACGGCATAAGCTAGAAAAATTCTTATTGTTTCAAGTCTTGCTACGGGTGCAAAGGTTTCATCAAAATCTATTCCTTCCTCTTGCGAATATCCCTTTGCAACGAACCTTGCTTTATTCCTAACAATTACGCCGTCTTCGTTTGCTTTGTTCCGAAAAACCCATTTTGTTCCTACAACATTATGAACACTTGGTCTTGGAACAAGTTCCAAAACGTCATTCCTTTTGAATTGATCAAGCTCCTCTTGCATGACGTCAATCTAACTTGGATCGTTTAATGCTTCGTCTACTTCCTTTGGTTCGATTTGAGATAAATAGCACGTGAACAATGCTTCCATGGTTGAGGATCTTGTCTTTACACCGTCGCGTACATTTCCAATGACTAAATCTGGAGGGTGATTTTTGAGACATCTTAAATATGGTTCAAATGGGTGCATGATACTGGATGGGTTCGCTGGTTAAGAACTGGAGGTGTTGGTTCGAATTTCAGCATTAATTCCTTGGTCTCCAACTTGATCTCCAACTAGATCTCCAACCTCATCTCTAATTGGATCTCCAACCTCATCTCTATTAATATTATAATTAATTGTGCCACATGCACTTTCTGGATGAGAGATGAGATTTTCTAGAGAATTGGTTTTCAGCTCATCTAACCCCTGCAAAATATAATCTTCACACTTATCATCAGTATCATTAAAATCAATTTGACACTTGTTACCATTTTACATGTCTTCCACGTCCAGTGCAACATTTTTGACGTGCGATTTTTCATCAAACACCATGTGTATGGACTCTTCAACAACCATTGTTCTTTTGTTTAATATTCTGAATGCTTTGCTGGTAGTCAAATATCATAGAAAAAATTACTTCATCTGCACGCTCATCAAAAGCTTTTAGATGCAATTTATCATTAATATGAATAAAACATTTGCATCTAAAAATATGAAAATAATTAATATTTGGTTTTCTCCCTTTGTATAATTCATATGGCATCTTCTTGTACTGCTTGTGGATCATGCTTCTATTTTGTGTGTAGCAAGCAGTGCTGATAGCTTCCGCCCAATATCTTTTCGGGAGACCGGATGTACTAATCATCACTCATGCGCCTTCTTTAAGCGTCTGGTTTCTTCTTTCGGCTACGCCATTTTGTTGTGGCGTTCTTGCGGCAGATAATTGATGAGAAATTCCTTGTGCATCGCAAAATGATTGAGTCATGCTATTCACGAACTCGGTTCCACGATCGATTCAGATTTTTGATATTTTCATATCCTTCTCATTTTGGAGTTGCTTCAATAGCTTTGGTAGCACTTGCTCAACTTCGCTTTTCTTCTTGATAAACACGATCCAAGTGTACCTGGAAAAATCATCAACAACAACGAGTATATATTTCTTACCACTTACACTTATTGGATCAACCGGTCCAAATAAGTCCATACGTAGCAAGCTTAGCGGTCTTGACGTTGACTCGTGCGTCTTTGATTTGAACGACGATTTAATTTGTTTTCCTTGTTGGCATGCCTCGCACACTTGATCCTTCTTGAAGACAATATTTGGTTAACCTTCAACAAGATTTTTCTTTGCAAGTTGATTGATTATCTTGAAGTTTAGATGGTTGAGCTTCCTATGCCATTCCCAATTTGCATCATTTGAATTTCTGGCCATTAAGCATACAGACTCTTTGCTTGTGCTCCAATCAACCACGTACATATTTTTCTTCCTTGCTCCAATGAGTACTATTTCCTTTGTTGTCTCATTTTTTATTAGGCACTTATCTTTGGAAAATTCCACAAGAGTCTTTATCACAAAATTGACTAGTACTCAGCAAGTTGAACTTCAATCCTTCCACGTACGATACATCTTCAATTTTTATTCCATTTCTTTCAATCGTACCAACTCCGTTGGTAATTTCATAATTTTGCTTTTCTCCAAAGATCACTTTTGGTCCATCGATTTTCTTCAAATTCACTAGATATGATTTATTTCTCGTCATGTAGCGGGAGCAGCCACTATCGATGTACCAAACATCCTACAAAAAAGATTAATTATTTTTAGGTACCCATTCTTGCTTGGGTCCTTTGTTATTAGTGATTTTTGGTAGCCAAACCCACTTAGATCTTATTGAATTAAAATAAGGTGGTTTGTAACCATTTGAGACTTGATAATCAAAATTGACTCTAGAAAATACTTTTGGTGCCCGGTTTTGAAAATCATTTTTGTATTTTGGCACCTGGGAAAAGGATTGTTGCTTTGGTCTATAAAAAGCATAAAAACAAGGTTTGTACAACCAATCCTGTTGAGTGGGATAAAATCTCCCAGCCCCAATCCTTGGAAAACTTCCCTCTTTCCTATGAGGTCTTTTTGCACTTAACTCATTGGCATATCTTTTGTACTTAATGAATTTTGAATGTTTAGCTATGTAATTAACGTTGTTCGGCCTAGCAGTATTCATTTTTGCATTTGGTTGATAGCCAAGTCCTCGTTTCATTGTGCTATCCTGACTTTTCACAAATTTTACCACTTGCACTTTATTATTTAAAGTAGCAGTAAGATTAGTCAGTTTTGGAGGGGTTTGAGAACATGTGGAGTCATAACTAAGTCCGGTCTTATCTCCTGATGGCTTTTGCATGTTTACCATTTTATCCATGATCTTGGACGAATTAGTAAACGTAGCAATGGTAGCTCTTAGATTATGTTCTCTAACCTCTCTAGCTTTACACTCTTCTTGAAGGCAAATATTTTTACTCTTCAAGTTACTCACTTCAAGTAAAACATCTTGCAATTTTTTATTCATCTCTTCTTTTTCAAGAATTAGAATATTATTGCGCTCCTCGAGAGTTGAGAATGAGTGGCCAAGATCTCTTGCCAATCTCGCATTATATTGCCAATAGATTCACGAAAAAAGGAAGAACTAACTGAAGTAAAAGAATTTGATGTTACCTCTTCTTCCTCTGCTCCAAGAGCCATAAGACAATCTTCACTTGTACTCAACTCATTTGATTTGCATACTAGCACCCTATCATTTTCTGAACTTGAACTTTCATCGCTTGATGATGATTCGTCGGACTCATCATTTTCATTTGGCTCATTGCTCCTGAGAGCCTTTCTTTTGTCACGTTTGAATCTTCGATCTTTGTTGTCGAATTTATTCGGTGTAGATTCAACGTTTTTGCCTTGATATTTGCTAACGATCGGATGCGGACAATTTAGTTTAAAATGTCCGGGTTTGCGGCAGTTGTAGCATAGATCGTTCATTTCTTCAACTTTTTCTTCATTCGGCTTCCATGCGCCATTTTGATTTCCACAAGAAAATTTTTGATTTCTTCATGATGAATATTTGTTATCTCCTTTTCGCATGAATTTCCTGTTCATCAGTCATAAAATCAATATTATCTACTGACCTGGAGGTAGACGGTTGTTCTGACATTAGAGCTGGATTTCGAACTTCATAATCTTCATCATTTTTGGCCTTCATTTCGAACTCATATGCTTTAAGATCACTAAAGAATTTGTCAGTTGACAACGTTCTTAGATCTCAGTGATCTCGCATAGCCGTAACCTTCATATCCCATGTGGATGGCAAGCCTCGTAGGATCTTGAGATTAATTTCTTTTTGGCCAATCTCTTTGCCAAGATCATTAATCTCTCCAAGAATTTTGATCATTCTTGCTTCCCTGTCAACTATGCTTTCATTTGATAGCATCTTGAAGTCTTCGAACTTCTTCATGGCTATCGTGAGCTTGTTGTCTTTCTCTTGTTCATCGCCTTCACCGATCTTGATGAGAGTATCCCAAATTTTTTTCGTGGTTGTGCATTTTCGAATTTTTGGGAATATTGTATCATCAACGGTTTTGAATAGAATATCTTTGGCAATGTTGTCAAGATTATTTCTTTTTCTATCGTCTGATGACCATTCCGGTTTTGGCTTTGGTACATATTCTTGAGCATCGGATGATAGAAGAAATGCTGTGTTGACTTTCAATATTTCAATCGGTCCATTAGAAATGACTTCCCACATTTCATCGTGTAAGGCCGATAAATGAACCTGCATACAAACTTTCCAATCATCAAATTTATCAAGTGAGAATAATAAATTTTGTGCTAAATCTTTATTCATCTTCTCGTGAGAAAAGAATAATATAATCCAATCACACACTGGTAAAATGGATCTGTTTAGCAGTCAGAAACAAGGTTGACCCAAATAGGCAACTTGCTTCGAAACAAATTGACCCAAATAGATAGTTTCTCCGATACCAATTGTCCCAAAGGGGGTGTGGTAAAAGTCTAGAGGGGGGGGGGGGGTGAATAGACTTTTAAACCATTTTCGCGAATACAACAATTGTTGAGGCGATAGAGAAACCAAAACTCTTAACTAGATTGTTAAGAGTCTTGTACGCATCGGAATAAATAAATAAATATGAGTTGTGTGATTGTGTCAAGTATATCACGTGATAAGAGAATAAAGAGCAGTAAATGACACAAGGCAATTTATAGTGGTTCGGAGGTGATGTAATCCCCCTACTCCACTTGCTCTTATCGTCCAAGAGAAATTCACTATATCCACCACTTCTTGGTTCCTAGATACAATGAATTTCCGTGATCTAGTGCTTTGATCACTAAGCCCACACTAATCACGCTCAGTGCCTCCAACACTGCTGCTTCGAATATTTTTCTTGTAGGCTTTTTCAAGCAGATTTGATTCGTATGATCTCACGTTTTTAGCTCTTTGGAAGTGCTTTGATCTGCTTCAATCTTTATAGCTGATTTTGAGAATTTATCCGTTGGAAAAAGACAATATCAAATTTGAATTGTAGATCTCAAATTTGAATTCTTGTAGCCTTTTGCAGAGGATCTGTAGCTTTTTCAAAAGATCTTATTAAAAAATAATATATCTGACATTTGAGATATTTCCGCCATTGCTTAGCTTTTGGTCCATGTGAAGAGACTCTTAAACTATTTCTGATGTAGATCTTGTCTTCACGTGAAGGGCTCTTAAAAAAATTCTATGTAGATCATGCCTTCTGGGACTTTCATCTTCTGATTATTTTAATCTCTCAGTATAGCTTCTGATGAAGTTATTTGTGTTCGGCCAATGATATCAAGTAGCTACTGATGATGAAGTTGTTTATGTTCGGTCAATGAGATCAAGTAGATACTGATGAAGTTGTTTGTGTTCGGCCAATGAGATCTTTTGATCTGTGTCTCATACTGGTGAAACTTCATCTATAACTTCAGCTCTTACTATATATAGTTTGATGAAACTTCAGCTCTTACTATATATAGTTTGATGAAACTTCATCTCTCTTACTATTATATAGTTTGATGAAACTTCATCTCTCTTCTCTCTTCGTCTGACTTGCAAACTTCATCTCTTACTTCATCAACCACACTGCATCTCTTACTTAATCTCTCTTCTCTCTTCGTCTGACTTGCAAACTGCATCTCTTACTTCATCAACCACACCTCTTCGTCTGACTTGCAAACTGCATCTCTTACTTCACCACACTTGCAAACTGCATCTCTCTTCGTCTGACTTGCAAACTGCATCTCTTACTTCATCAACCACACTGCATCTCTTACTTCATCCACACTGCATCTCTTAATCTCTTACTTCATCTCTCTTTTCTCTTTGTCTGACTTGCAAACTGCATCTCTTACTTCATCAACCACACCTCTTCTCTTTTCTCTTCGTCTGACTTGCAAACTGCATCTCTTTGTCTGACTTGCAAACTGCATCTCTTACTTCATCAACCACACCTCTTCTCTTTTCTCTTCGTTTGACTTGCAAACTGCATCTCTTACTTCCACTTCTCTTTTCTCTTCGTCTGACTTGCAAACTGCATCTCTTACTTCATCAACCACACGTTTTCGTCTGACTTGCAAACTGCATCTCTAATAGTCCTCTGCTCCAACTTCATCTCTTCTTTAGTTTCGAAATCGCTCAACAAACTGCATCTCTAATAGTCCTCTGCTCCAACTTCATCTCTTCTTTAGTTTCGAAACCACTTTTGAGCTGATTTTGGCTTTTTTAATTTTGCCTTATAAAATTGTAAAGAATGAGTTTCAAACCTCAAACCTTAGGTCTTGTTTATACATCAAGCTTTCATCCATCTCGCCTGTACGAATTATTAGTCATTGTAGCATTCTCCTTGATGTACTTCTTTCTTTTCATAGATGCTTGATCTTCAAGATAACTTCATGCAATCTCGTTTGCTTCTCTTTTTTTCGTATGAGATCATCAGTATGACTTCTTCTTGAGTTGGGGCGTGTGGGTTTATTTAAGTATACACATCATATGCATACATCTCCTTCTTCTTCTTCTTCGTATTTTTCCCTTTTTCTATATTTGTTAATTTTCCTTTCATGGTCTATGACACGCCTAGACTTGACAAATAAAACTTGGGGATTCTAAAATACAATTTGGCATATCAAAATCTATTACAATATATTCCTAACACTCAATAATAACAACCAACGGTAACAAAGGGGTCCAACGATGAACAACAACATCAAGTAGTCAATAGAGAATACAACCATCATCCAACCTTATACCAAGTTCCAACATTTACTCCTCTCCATCCTTATTTCAGTTCCAACATGTACCTCTAAGCCACCCTTATAAAGTCTCCCTTATCCCTCCGGAGCACGCATGCCCCCCACCGGCATACAGCCAACAAATCCACCGATCTGATAGCACCGTAGTACCATTACCACATGATTTGTGCCTATAGCACAATAATCAAGGGGCTATGCCTATAGCACAATAATCAAGGGGCTATGCCTATATCACAAAGACATTGTAACACCCCCGATTTTCAAGACTTTTAAAACTTATATAATAAAGATAGAATCTCATTAAATCCCAAATTACGATACAAAGAGTACGGGGTGCTATGCCACACCCGAGCTAGAGAACTCGGGTGCACAGGCTAAATTCTAAAACCTCAATCAGTATCAATACTAAATCATGGCACGCAGGCCGAAAAGGGAAAACTATCTAAGCTACGCCTCAAGCTTCTAACGCGCTCCAGTGATCTACTCGTCTGTGCCTAAAAGCCAAATATATCTGTTCAGCGAGAGATGCTGGTAACCCACTCCAACGCGTTGAAATACAATACATATTGACATATATATAGATATACGAAAACCAATTTGAAGCATGAAGATATATCCTACGAGACTTTAGCTTTTAAAACAGGGATCGACTCAACAGATAGGGCTAAGCACAGACAGCAGTTATACCAAGCATATACAGTTTACAACAGGCAAGACAGGTAAGATAAGCACAATTAATAATCATAATCCAACATATACGATTCCCAGTATAAAACCCATAGTCACATCCCCAAGGTACTCATAACAACAACTCATCTGTACCTCATCACATAGCACACTTTGTTGGCGCCACAGGACCAATCGCATGCCCATACATGAGGGTCAGCACATATAGCTCTGACATGGCCCCGCAACACCCTGCCCCGTATCGCAACACGGAGGGGTCGATCGCAACCGACCGATGAACCGCAGCTCATCATAGTTTGATAGCAACCAAACAGTGGACCGCAGCCCAAGAGTATGTCATCTGACCGCAGCCAGGAAATATGAACCGCAGCTCATGTAGAAACGTTTGATCGCAACCAAACGGTGGACCGCAACCCGAGAGTGTAAATCTGACCGCAGCCAGCTTCTGAACCGCAGCTCAGGAATGACCAATACGATCGCAACCGAATTGGGGTATCATGCACACATAACACATAGCAAGCACATGCAACCCACATTAACACATTGGGAAGGGGGAGAAAACGTATAACAAAACCTATGCGTGATCCTTCACATACTAAGAATAATTCTAAGGGGTTCATACTTCTTTCACCTAGGTCAATGGGATACCAATTCAACTAGCATGCAATATATAAGACTCATACAACCTACGAACGGTACCCGACATATCAAACTAGACATAGGCACGATAGACGGAGTCCGTTGGGACACCACGGGGATCGGGGGAACATCAAACGGGGAAGCCAAAATTCCAAATTGGGTACAAACCAGCGGGTAGCCGGTGGGTGAGGGATCACCCGCCGACTGCCCGCCGGCGGCACTGTTCCGGGAAGCGGGTAGGTGGCGGGTCCCCTACCCCCACCTACCCCCCACTGACTCTTTTTCACCAAAAACGCCCCGGGAACCTTTGTGGAACCCGAAACCATGCTTAGACACTTTCAAACGCAATTGATAACACACGTAGACAATTAACGGATCAAAGATCAAGAAACATATGGCATATAACCTATCATGCTTTTCTAAACATAATCAACACCCAATCATGCGAATTCCCACCCAATATACCCAGAATAATACCATACGAATTCCACGATATACCTAGGGTTCTAATTATTTTTAAATCAACAAGAACACAATTCATCTTCCAAAATCAAGATTCGGTAGGAATATCATATAACTATCAAGAACCTCATATAATCATTAAGAACATCAAGAACACCATATAATTATCAAGAACGTTATATAATCGTCAAGAACACCATAATTATCAAGAACCTCTCATCATCAAGATCACCCATGGAATCATCCCACCAATCATCAATAATAATATCACAAATCATCAATACACAATAATATGGGGAAATCCTAAGAGGGGAATCATAGCTATGAAAATAGGTTTTGTTGAGACATGGGTTACCTCTTAGCCTTAATTAATTCCTTGGCTATGAAGGGTCTTTCTTGAAGCTTTCTTCTTTCTTGATTTCTCCTAGGGGAATTCTTGGAACTTCTTGTGTGGTGAGGGATTATTGTGGTGGGGATTCTAGGTGCCTCCTTATGTTCCCTATTTATATATCTAAGAGTCTTACTTAGGCCTAATTATTATAGGTTTGCTAACTCTATTCCTTTTGGGACTAAGGATTGGGTTTAGGGATAAGGGCCCGTGGACTATGGTGGGCCTTTCCTAATTAATTATTGTGATTTAATTCTTTCTTTTGGGTAATTGGTTAAATGATTAATTGGTTTTAGGGATCGTAACACGGGGTGTTACAGACATGGCACCGCAGCGCTTATAACTTGATCCATGCCTTTAGCAAGAAAATCAAGGGTGGTCTATGCTAACCGCCAACAAAACGTTCCCACCAATCACATCACATTTCTCTTCATGGACAAAACCATCACAACAACCAGTGCACCGCGATAACCACAACCAACAACACTCAATCAGCAACGGTAATCAATTCTCAACAACAACAAACAAACAAACCTCAACAATAACCATGACACACAACTCGTAAACACCAATCGGGACACAATGGGGCACGGGAGAAACCACAAACGGGGTAAAACAGCACCCCGCCCCGCCGTACTAGCGGGTGGTACGGCGAGTGATCAACCACCTGCCGGCGGGCGGCCCACCAGTGGATACACGGCGGGTGGTCATCCACTCGCTGGTACGGTGGACGGTACCGGCGGGTGGTCAGGTGGGGGTTCGTCCCCCCACCGACCCCCCACTGGTACGATAATGTAATCCGGCATTTTTACATTTCGGGATTAAACACATCCCAAAACATATCAACAACAATATGGACTCGAACAACAAGAATCAAACCAAGAAACACCACGATTATACCCTAAACACAATCCCTAAACATGCCAAGACTCGAGATTAAACACATAAAGGTCCACGAGCATCAAGAACCGCAACATTAACAAGAAATCTATACGCAAAACCCTAAAACAAGCCCTAACCTTGATTCAACACCCGAGCATGCATAAACCCACCCAAGAGCACCAAGAACATCACAACCATAAGATTTACAATATAAACTCGAGGGACAAGCTCCAAACATAATTAAATACCAGAACATACCAAGACACACAGGGCTACCAAGATTATCAAGAATAACAATAATTCATACTAAAAATCTCTAAAGACAAGCTCTAACCAAGCACGAATAAAAAAAATCATACATTCAATCGTTCAACAGAGTCAATCAATAAAAGATAACAAGGAAAATAGGTTTTTTAAGACATGGGTTACCTCTTAGCCTTAATCAATTTTCCCTTGGCTACAATGGTCCTTCTCTAAGATTCTCCTTTGATTGATCTCCCTAGGCTCGGTGGTGGGGAATCCCTTTTTTTGATAGGTTTCTTAGGCAATTCGTGTATTAGAGTTATGAGAGGTGAGAGGGTTCTAATTGCTTTCTAATCCCCTATTTATAGAGTTAGGAAATCCTAATTAGAATCTGAATGGTAGAAGGTGTACACTCCTTGTTCTTATCCAGCTTAAAGTCTTTAATACAGACGAGGGTCCACGATCCATGGTGGACCGTACTAATTAATTAGGGGGAATTCTAACCAAATTAAATCCCTTTTTAACTATTTGTTAACGGGATTAATTCAATAATTAATCCAAATTTGAAGGCCGTAACACGGGGTGTTACACCTACAGAACGGCCATCGAGGCTGTGAAAACCAACAACAACAACAACAACAACAACAATAATAATAATAATAATAATGATTATGTATGTATATATGTATGTATATGTATGTATATATAATGTATTTGAATATATATTTATTGATAGATAAAAATTATAATTAATTAATTAATTTTATATATATATATATATATATATATATATATATATATATATATATATATATATATATATATATATATAAAACCATGTATGCAAAGTGATGGTTTTAGGGTTTTCGGGCCCAAGGAGGTCCAACACAACCTTTGGTCGGAGGATACACCTCTCAATAATATATATGTCTAACTCAGAGATAATGTTACTGCTCGGAAATTCTTTGTTATTCTCCCCTCTCTGGGTGTCCGAAAATGTCTCCCTTTTACAAGAATGGAGGAGCCTTTATATAGTGGCTCCTCCTCTGCCGACTTGAAGGCCCTTAATGGCCGACTTCAAGGCTAATCAAGATATGGAGCCGTTGGACGCTATTACTCGGTCGACCAACGGCTCTCCTAGGCTTGTAACAGCTCGACCAGGTCCTGTCTTCAATGCTTCAACGGCTCTCTTTTAAAGGAACCCCTTTAATGCCCTCAACGGCTCCTCGAGCCGGGTTCTTTCCTGGGCTTGGGCCTCGGCCGACTCCTGGACTCGGCCTAACTGCTCTTTGGGCTCCTCTCGATGCTAGCCCACTTCTATTTTCTTTGGGCCCCTATCTCTTGGGCCGGGGTCCTTACCCCATCAACTAGTCCCTCACTTTTCCATACCCGGTCCTCCACCCTGGGTTTGGAAAAGTAGCAACCGCTCGCCTCCTTTAATTACCGTATCCGTGCCCTAAATAGCCCCTTGTAACGTCCGGATCATCAGCCATCCTCTCCGGATCTCGCGGAGCCGTTGGGATTCTTTCATTTAGGCTTGGCACCTATAAATGGCCTCCTTCCTTCTCTCTTATCTTCACAAGTTCATCATGGGTCGCTCTCCCTTGAAAGGGAAGCGAATTGACTTCGGGTCTCCTCGGCGTCCGCTGCCTTCTAGGCGGACTCGACCTGAGAGGGAAAGCAAGAAAAAAGCTTCTCGTCCGGCTCCTCGGAGATCTCCTGCTGGTGCCACCTCCTCAGCTTCTCAGCCGCCGACCCCACCTCAGCGAGAAGTCGTACCGCCTTTGCTTCGTCCGCCGACTCCAGCAACCGCCAGGGTGACTTCTCAAGATGGATCCTTCGTGGAGGTGGCCGTCCCTGAACAATTGACTTTCAAAATGACTTTCTCCATCCCGCTGGACGACCTGGACGGGCCGGTCACGGGCCTTATGGATGACGAGGATTACGCCCGCTACCAGGAGGCGTATCCGGATGATGAGGAACCCATTGCGCCGCCGCTCATGCCAGCTTTCTGGGACTCGTTCTGCCCCTCTCCCCCTGGACCATCGGGGGGATTCTTTGGGGGCGACTCTTCCTCGCCTGGCGAGTGACCTTATGTACCGGGGTCGGTCATAGCTCGGAGGAATCTTCTTTTAGGAGCATTTTCGTATTCCCTATTTGTAATAAGCTCCTTGCTGCTTGTACCCTCCTTTTCCATAATAATAATAAAAGCGCTATTTTCGTCTTGCCTTATGTTTTGTCGTGTTTTGTTGCGTACCCATCCGGACGA